AATAGACACGTCCTCCAGGGTGGTGACGTTACCACTGGGCCACCACTCCCAGCTTACGCCTAACCCGTCATCCCTTTGGCGTTCTGTTTCTCTCGTGTTTGTTTGGCAATACCGTACTAATCTACTGTTTTGAACTGATTGATGCTAGCTGCATTTGGTGTACATCATCTGAGTCGCCGTGATCGGATTTCTTATGGGTTGTTAGTTGTTTATCGAGCTAACTAAAACACTCTTGGTTTCGCCATTTTCACACCACATCCTGAGAATGCCATGCATCAGAGATTTATGTAGTGAAATATTTCAATATATATGATTTAAATCTGCAGCTGGCTTTCATCACTTTCGATCTTTATATAAGTGGTTCTCTGTTTTACCTTTTCTTTTAGGGTGTCGGGTTCGCTTCGACGTAGTCTGTTCACCGTCATCCTCTTCAATCGCATGCAGCTTCGTAAGTCTCTCGCTTTGCCCGCATCGAAACTAACTCATTGACCAGCAAGCATTGTGTATCGCCGATGCTTCGCTCTTTTCCGGCACTGTCCCCCTCGTTGTCTGGCCTCCACTGTCCCGCAAGTATGCATTGTCGGTAGTGGACCGTCAGCGTTCTACACCGCGCAATACTTACTCCGGGTAGATTAAAATTTCATCACTGATTCTAATCCCTGATCACACCGGTCACAGCATCACAATGCTGTCCAAGTGGATATGTTTGAGAAGCTGCCCGCGCCGTTCGGTCTCGTGCGTTATGGTGTCGCACCGGATCATCCGGAAGTGAAGGTTGGTTTTTTCGTTTCGTTTCCTCTTATCTCGTTCTGGCTTTACATCCCGTTACCCCCAGAATGTGATCAACACATTCACCGAGGTTGCCAAAAATCGCCGTTTTCACTTCTTGGGAAATGTGGCTGTAGGAAAAGATATTCGACTGTGTGAATTACAACGTGCCTACAGTGTTGTCATTATGGCTTACGGAGCATCTCGTGATCGAATGCTCGACATCCCCGGAGAGGTTAGTCCATGCTTCTGTGTGATTTGACTCTCGGATCATCGTCCTAATGCAGAACCTTCCAGGTGTTTTATCTGCCAAAGAATTTGTTGGTTGGTACAACGGTGCTCCGGGTTCGATCAATGTAAGCGCTCTTTCCAGTCCCAGTCGATTGATATGTCTACCACTTCAGTTTAGGCCCGATTTGGATTGTGAAACAGTGGCGATTGTGGGTATCGGTAATGTCGCGTTGGATGTGGCCCGTATTTTACTCTCTCCGATCGATCGACTTAAGGTATGTCGATGCACTCCTTGTATCTCGTCAGAAATACGCTTTCTATCATTGTCTGAAAGTGATTTTCATGTTCACTTCGTTTTCTATTGCCATTCACTAATCATATTGTAATGATAATAATAACTGAACAGATTATCTAACAACTCGTCAGTCCGGAGAACAATTATTGGGAGCAACATAAGCTGGAATGTGATTGATTTCCGAATGGAAAATAGGTCACATTAAATTTGTCTTGGATTTGGTCGAGGAAAGAAAATGATACTCAAATTTGCCGCAGATGCTTCGTTGTCTGTCTCAAAAAATTAATACGGACAAAGTACACATTCGATTGGTCTCGTAAAACGCCCTAATCCCATTCGCCGTCTCATCCAATTTGATTGTCTCCCGGTTTTGTTCACCTGGCCGATGAACCTTGTATTTTATCATTTTTCTGGACTTTTCTTAAACCGTTGCTAAACTGGGCGTAGTTAACTTATCTAGTCTAGAAAATGTGTACACTTCATTTGGTGCGATAGTGAGTGATCCCCCAGTGTTTTGTGTTGTGCTTGATCAGCACCGTGGAATTGCATTGAAAACAAGATGTACAGTTTTTTTCGCTCGGTTTCGTCTAACCCTCATTAGATACCACCGTTAGTGTTATCGTTTACGTGACTCGTGGATTTACGTCCGTATATTTCCAGTACCGGGCAACAAACTCGAACGGTTGAATTGAAATAAAATTAACTCTGCTCTGGNGTTAACGTCAAAGTACGTTAAAGCACAGACGCTCTGTGCCCCATTTCAGTTGAGAAATTGGGCGTGTATGTGACTCATCTGCTCTGCTGTTTGTTGAACAGAATCTGCACGTGGACTGCACGCCTCGGTTGACGGCATTCTTGTGATCCGGCAGTTTTCATGACATTTTGTGCAGGGTTTTACCTCTTGCGATCGAAAATTCATTTGTCATTATATATTACTCTATGTATGTGCGTCTGTGAACAGTCTGTAAATGTGAGGTAAATCGTGCAGTATATTGAATATAATTACCCATGAATAAATACTGTAAGACGACGATAAAACATAATTTTTATGTAGGAAAGATGTGTGTGGGCATGCGTGTACGTACAAAAAAACCAGGTCAGTGCAAACTGTCACAACAGTCCTTCCCCCCTCCCCCGTCTTTTTGCTCACCACCACTGTGCAGTGTCCAGTCCGAACAATACACGTTTGCAGTCTGTTTGTCCACTCCAAACTATGGGCTAACGGTCAGTGTATGCTAATCAAAATAGAGGCATGCAATGCTTGGTCCTGTGTGTGCCTCGCCATCACAGTTGAATAGTAATGGGCCCATTTGGTTACCGTTTAAGTTAGACAATTGTATGGATAGTTGTACTACTCAAACAGTCACACCCGTGATCTGTTTTATGTCGCCGTTACCTTGAGTCGTATCCAGAGATGGCGCAGTGGTTTAGTCGCTGTCAGCGGCGTGCTTTAGACCCCATGGTCCGAGGTTCAAGCCCCGCCACTGCCACCCGACTTTGGTGGTAGGCAGCTCTGCTGCCGTCCGGTTCAATACCACACCCAACATATCGGGGCCTTATGTGGTTTACCACTCCAAGTCCCGGGGCTTAGGTTACCGGTTTCCATCACTGAACAGCAGGTCCTCGTGATTATGGGGTTCCACCCCGTCTGCTGTTCATCACACGAAAGTGTGTAATGAAAAAAAAGAGAATGATGCGGTTCGTATAAGGGTATCATTCAATACACATTTTTGAATCACAGTACAATTGTCCCAAGGATATGGATATACTTTTCATTACACAATAATTGTGATTCACAACTGATCACGATAAACCTCGTGAACTGAAGTGTCATTTTTTTCAGTGAAGCACACGCGAATCGAGGAAACGACCGGTGATTCCGCATTGAAAGATCTAGCGGTTGTACATCGGAGGGAAAAGGGAGAAAAGTTATCGGGTTCTTGACTTGTTTTTTTTAACTAGACGTGTGATTGAAATTCAAATGTGATACGCTTGGAAACGATAGCCGGCTAGCCTATGAAGCTTAGGCACAAATTGCGAACTCATTTGAGCTCGATCCCCGGGTTGCTCTGTTTACTGGCCCCGTGAACCAATAACAATCCGTCACCTTACTGNTTCATCTTGCCATCCAACAATCATCTTAGGGGCATCCATTGAAATTAGTGCTCCAAAAATGTCGTCTTGAATGCCGGCGTCATTCATTTGCCCTCAGAGTGTGCACTATTTGGAATTGTCTACCACCTCACGTTGTTTCTGCGTCCACACTTGATTCTTTCAAGTACAAAATGGACCAAACACTGTCATTTCTTAAACTTCGACATCGGTGGCAGTGCTCGAAACTATGAAAATTTGTATCATTCCGTACCTCTCTGTGATCGGTAAATCGATACAATTGTGTGTAGACCCGATGGGACAAGAAATGTAACTTCTTTGTAAGTATTTCCCATAATAAAACTTTGATTTGGATGAAAATGATCAGTTGGGATGACTCGATGCATGTCTGTGGTGCTTTCGCGTTTTGGTCAGCATGCGGTCACTCTAAAACGCGTGATGCCGTTATTTCCACCTCGCAATTTCCATGCTTCTCA